GACCGTTGGCTTTGTAGTGAGGATATTTTTCTGAAAAGTTACTCTTAACTATAACTAACCAAGACATGTCAAATACAGTTGTGACTTCATAATCCGACCCAAAACAATCCAAAACCTTGCTATCCGACAGGTTTTAGGAAAAACGAAAGGAAATCATAGAAAATAGCCTTAACATCCCGACAGCCTTGGATTCCGACTTCGACATGATATTTTATGTCACAAATGAGGATAACAACGTGTTATCTGACTTAGGCAATCCGACAGATTGGCTACGTTCAGAATGCAGGACTTAATACTCAATTGGGATTTTTTGATGAAATCCGATTTTTTGCGAGTTTGTTCACATTTCCAATTACATGCGACTTGTATGTGATTTGCTGTGTGAACTTCATACGACCCAAAAGTGTCCCGCATGTGCAGAAGAGGACACGACGATGTCACACGCAGCGAGCGTGCTCAGTGATTACGGAAGTAAACACAGATGGTAATGGTGGAGCGTATCCACCATTCCCCCACCGCCCTCACCGTCACCGATGGTGGAAACAGAACTGTGACCGGTATTCTAAACTGGCATGTGCGTTCCGGCCACTTCCACCCCGTCAGAGTCCACCCCCGGGTGGAAGTGGCCAGAACGTGCACAAGCGCACCGGTCAATTAGGTGTGAAATCCATCCATGCGTAGTGTTCTAACAATACACTAGTTATGACAACTACTATAAACAATAAATATTAACAATAAATTACCCTTCAAGCATCAAGCCCTCCTTGTATCTCAACCTCTGTCTTGACAATCCGACAGCCTTGCTATCCGACATAAAAGAAGGTTTTACATTTGTGTCGGATTATCGAGTCACGACTAAATTAAAGGGGAATTCTCACAGACCTCCTTACTTCTCTTTGGTGGCACATGTGACAATAAAAGGTATTTGCACATGCGTTCATAAACCTCACCGCACAAAGATCCAAATAGTTGGTTAGCACATTACCATGGCGGCCTAAGCTGGCAGTGCACTAAGCAGGCCTTGATGCCAAGCAACGATGCAATGTTAACCTAAGTGAATATTATAAATGTACTTAACGTACAGTTGGTATTATTTGCTGGTATCATTTTTTCTCTGTGGCACTGTTACTTCATCATACGTTCCACATTAGTCAGACTATTCTGCAGCACAGAACCATCTGGCTGCGCCTCCTTATCATTGGGCTACAGGAAAAAAAAAACACTCTGACTTGTTTGTGTTTCTTTAAACCAATCACAATAATTGTACTGGGCGCAGCTAAGGGAAAGATTTAGCAACAGTATTCCCGCAAAAATGTAATGGAAGACTATGTTTTAGTGGAACATTTGCATACAGGAAGGCAAGCACAAGAAGTAGCAGGGCTAGGCTGGGACTAACGTGACATTTTCAATGTGGTAGGCTGCTGCTGAAGTTTTGAAAACAGTAACACATAGATAGCAGAAAGGGAGGAGAAAAGCACGTAAAATGTGCAGCCGTGGCAGGTTTATACCCACAGTCTACATCTGGTGAGTCAGACTACGTCGTCATTAATAACACAATAAACCTTGATAGCAGATACATGTTTTGTTTAAAGAGAAGCCTCCTCCCACCAGCGAATCTCTTCCCCTCCATTTAACAGATAAGCTCCTTGCTTTTTGCCGGCTTGTGTCCCAGCTGTAGGAAGAGGAGGGCATCAAGTGTGTAAATGCAAGTACACTGATATAATTTTATCTGTGGGTTACAGGCACGATCAACTTTATGTTACCTTATGTTACCTTTTGCAATAGATTGCGACTTTACAGGCAAGTATTGAAATGAAAATCTCCATGACTGCCACTTTGAGCACTTCAGTGAATGTACCACTTGATTTTTGTTATGAAAACACTTCATGCAAGAAAATCCATCACAGCTACACACTGTAATGATTCGGCAAACACTTCACTGTTTCACGCGCTGTCAAACCCTTCCTTTATAGCAGCAGAAGGTGCAGAAGTAAAGTGCAAAACATAGACTTCAGCATGTTTGTACAACAAATCACTGTGACAAGTGAGCCCAAATTACTTGTCAGAACCTATCGCATGTGTGACGGGTGTAAGGCTACAGTTTGTTCCTGAATGCAGTGTTGCGTGTCAGGTCAAAAGTTAAGGAGCCAATGGCAGCTCCAGATGGTAGCTTTCCACTTTTGGAAAAAGATGGTGTCAAGAAACACCGCAAGTCCAAACATGAGATATATTGACAGGAGGATGTATTTTGAGTTTGGGTTTGGGCAATGTGAAGGGGGCAACATGCCTGACCTGTCATGGATATGGCACCATAAACAATAAAAAGCGCCGCCGAAAGTCAAAAGGGATTAACACGCGACATCGTGATGCCACCAGATAAAAAGATGCTTTCAGATGTAACCTAATGAACTCCCTGAGCCGCTGCATTTGTCTAAATTGTCCTTATGAAACTGGACTCGTCTGCTATTCCTTTTATTTCTAACTTGGGCAGCATGCTATCCATTCGGTAACATAATGAACACATCAGTGCACGCTAGCTTTCATATTGCCTCCTCCTCTTTTCTCCCCTTGTCCCTTTTTTTCCACTCCGTCTGCCAACACCAAAATCCGGATGACCGGTACGTGGTGTACAGATCAGGTGTCGAGTGGCTGAATGCAGTCATTGCTGCAGTCTGCCGTGGCTGAGAGCGACCCGGTGTCGTCTTGCTCTGGTCAAGGATGTTGCCAACATTAACGCCATGTGTGACAAAATAACACAGACTCGGTGAAAAGGTCTCTGTTTGGTCACTTTTCATCACATCATTAATACGTAACATGCAGCAGCACGGTAGAGCATGCCTTAAATAAAGCCTGAGCTTTTGTTTCCGGCGCTGACTGGGCAGCAGTTTAGAGACTTAAAGCCTCTTAGATCCTCAGAACAATCGTTTTTAACTGTGTCACACTTGAGGCTGGTGGGTAAGTGGGATTTGGTACCTTTGCAGTTGCAGCTTCAATGCTTTGGAATAACCTCCTCCACTGACATTTTTTAGGAAAAATCTGAAGACGGTTTTTGATTGCATTTAAGATTCTTAATATTTTTGGGGGCATTTTTAATTTGTTTTATTTTGGAAACTGATCTTGCAAGTTGTTGTCCTGTTTTGTCTGTTTTGTTTTTTTTTACTATTTTAGATTTATTTAAGTTTTACAAATTGATTCTACAAGTCCTCTCTTTCTTTTTGCACATATTTTTGTTGCTTTTGTTTTAAAACTTTATAACTATTCTTTTAGCTTTAAAAGGTGCTAAAAGAATAAACTTGATATAATTGAATTTGATTTAAAGGAAATATTTGGTTATGTTTCATACAGGTACAGTTTCATTTAGGTGGTTAACCCTGTGCAGGACTTTCATGTTGCCATACGTAGAAGGTCTTTCGGGGTCCATTGGACCCCAAGAAAGAATATGTGCAAAATATTTGTTGGTATTCATATTAGACTTTTATACTATGTTAAATACATTTTCTGATAAGTTGACGTATTTTTGGTTCCAAATGCATAACAAATGTCCCTCCTTTTATATAAAAAAAATCTTTAAAAATAAAAAAACAACACCTGTCACCTAAACCAAATGGCCTGGGGTCCAACAGACCCCAAAAGTCCTGAATAGGGTTAAATATGTACAGCATCTTCCAAAAGACAATACATGCAATAAACTGTTGAAATAATGATGCATTGA